AGTGAGTTTCAATGGTGGTGGTGGGTTTTGGGTTACAGGGGGTTGTGAGTTTCAAAGTTCCAAGGGTGGTGGTGGTGGAATGGGTAGTGGTTAATTTCAGGGTAAGGGTTGTGAGGGTAAGTTTCGATGGTGGTGGTGGAAGTTTGGTGGTGGTAGGTGATTGGGTCTTTGGTGGTGTTAGGTGGTTGGTGGTGGTGTTGGGGTGGTGAATTTTTGATATAATACAAAACATATTGTTTTTTTTTTATTTTTATAATTTTTTAAATATAAATGACAATCAAACATGTTTTATATTTTTTATTTTTATCAAAAACAAAACAAAAATTAATTTTATAAAAAAAAAACATAAAAACAAACGCACCCTAAAATATTATAGGCATAAAGCACCACTTGTTGTATAACATTTGGATGCCAAAAGTTAATCGTTATTATATATAAGACTAAATAACATATGTATACAAATTGTATATTTTTAATACCATCAATGGGTACTATTAAGCCAATTTTAATACCACCTGAGAGGTGACATTATAATTCAATCTAAAAATATTATTTTGTTGTTTTACTATTTTATCCCCAAAACTACCGTACCCCAAACAGTTATGTCTCTTCCCACAACCACCTTCATCAGTTCATGTCTCTTCTCTGATCTCCACTTTTATTCTCCACAAAAATCCCTCCCCTTAGTTCGGCAGAGATCCTTCTCGTTCTTTATTAGTCATCAACCGAGTAAGGTAATTTTTTTTATCATTGATTGTTCGTAGACTAAACAAACGTAAGATTAGACAAGATAGCTATTATCTAGATCTTAATCTAATATCATATTATATATACAAGATAGAATAGAAAATATTTTTTTTTTCTTTTATTAATCTTATATTTTATTCACTTATGCAGAAATAGTAATTCAATCCCTTTTTTTTATCAATACAAGAAGAAGACGAGCCCTATAGGTAAACACTGATGCAAGTCCGATGATATCTAGATTTCACACTGAGATTTGGTAACCCAAAAAGATTTTTTACACCCGTGGATGAATTGCTGCTGAATCAAATTTGCATACCCATCTATAACGAGCCCTAAAAGAGTTTATTGATAGAAACTATCATACATATATATAAGAGAGAGAGAGAGAGAGAGACATTTTCTAGTAGACTCTTATTTTATTTTTCAAAATTTTATCATATCGTTTGATATATGTGCTTCCTAGAATTTAATAATTGAGTTTACATATTAAATACAAAAACAAACACAAGCAACTACCTCAATATGTATCCACCACAAAAGATTATCACTGTCACTCAGTCCACAAACTGGGCAAGTCCTCCATCGGCGGCAGCTCCAGCAACGACCTCTCCAAGTCTTTAAATGATGCTTCCTTGCATAACCTCAAACCAGCACCAGCACCAGCACCACTGCCGCCACCACATTTTCTTTTCCTTTGACCCACAAAAGGTTTCTCTACCGTGCATGCAACGCCGGAATCCTTCCCAGTAAGGCTCTGGACAACCGATTTGAAGCTCAATTGATCAGTTTCGACGTAACGCGTATTGATAATCACCACTTTCACTGGCTCACGGTCACTGCTCAGACCCGCCATCGATGACCTTGTTCGAACTTCAACTTGCTCTCTTCCTTCTTAAACGAATTGTTTGCTGATTTAGGGTTTTCAATAATTTTTGGGTATTTTTCTGAGTTTGAAATGGATCTTGTTTTATAGGGACTTTGGGGTTATTGGAGTGAAGAAGCAAGTTCGACTGTGCGAGGACTAGGGTACAATGGCGGGGCTTTGAGCCTGTTGACTGTCAATGGAAGGTAGGGACTGCGGAACCAGTTGACGGCTATTAGGCAGGCAGTCTTGAATGACCGCAGACAAGTCATGGGTCAAAGCACGCAGTGTGTGACTACGAGGAAAAAATATTGGCGGAAGCCGTTACACCACGTATAACTATTTTATAGCGTAAATATTGGGTATAACGGCAATACGATAGATTTAAAAAATAAATATGATAATTATGATTATTGATTTCATTATGAATTTTAATATTTATTGAGATCCATTTATCTATTCAATAATTGTGATTATTACGTTTATTTTTTAAATTCATATAGTATTACTCGCTTATAAATGAATAAAGTGAACCTCACTTGAGTAATTATTATATTAAAGAGTAATTCTATTTGTACTTAGAAATTTGATCTAATTTGCTGATATATTGATATGACTTAGTGAAATCATTGAATTAATATTAAATTTTAATATTTGATGGAGCCTACAATCAATTCAAATGTCATACTGAATTAGATCAGCAAATAAAAATCAGTATCATACCCTTATTATAAATTTTGTATTTTTTTATAATTTTTAAAGGTAATTTATAATTTCTATGCTAACTTTGCAATCAATTCTAAAAAAAAATTTTAGAATCTATCTTAAAAATGTTAAGATCGATCGTAAAATTACAACAAAAATGATAATTTAACCCAAACAAAATTATAATATGACTCCAAAAAGTTATATATATTTTTTATTATAAACAAACTTAAACCTTTTATATCTCCGGAAAGTCGCGCGCTGCCCAGCGCCGCGCCCGCGCTGCGCAGCCGCGTGCCAGCGCTGCCCAGCCGCGCGCCCAGCGCGCCTTCGCCCCTCCTCGCCTCCTCTTCGCTACCCAGCCTTTCAATTTCAGATCCACAACTTTCTTCAACCTCCACCACTCCCTCTTCAAAATAAAAGGGAAAGATTTGAATTTAAAAAAAAAAAAAAAAATGTAATCAATGCCTCCTTCTCCAAGTAGCGTAGTCTTTGTGTGAGCTGTTCAATCAGTCACACAGCAATGTTGAGCTCGTCTTGTGGCCAAAAGCCAATTGCATTTTCATGTTATCGTACATAGGGTCCACAATTATTAGGATAATTAATTCGACACGGAATTAATTTAATGTACGCGTTTAATTTGTATAAATTCGGATCATAAATGTGTTGACTTGTCCAACAATTTTAAATATATCATACAAAGTCCAGCTGAAATACTATTAATGGACAATGCCACCAAATTGATTATAAATAAATTGAGTATAGCAAATTTTCAAATTATACATTTTGAAAAAAATGAAAAACACGACCCATTAAAAATCGTATTACTTTTAAATTGTCATATTTTGATTTTAAAATGATTTATTTGCTCTAAATATCGTAGTTTGCTAATTTCGAACAAGTTCAAGGACCTAACAAAAGTGATCATTGAACTTACTAAATTTAAATATAATTAATTAAACTTTATTGAAAATTGAGAGAAGTTGGAATTTGGGAGTTGTCGGGTCGAACAACTAAAACCAACATGGGGTAAAAACAATTTAAGTTTGTGGGAATTTTATCTGAAAATATGCAAATTAATGATTGACTATCAACCCCATGTTTTGATTCATTTTGCATTTCTATAAGGTGCATTTATGTCTTTGTAAGTCCCAATTTGATTTAGTGTATAATCTCTTGAAAACAATGCACAAACTAATTAATTAGCCCTCACAGCATGAACTTGATTTGACACGATTCACTTCAACTCAAAAAATATAACTTTTTTTTCTAGCATAATGAACATAGAACTGGTCATGGGGTGGCCAAAGCCGGGTTAGGGCCGAACTAGAAATAACAATCTATTTGTCCATGCTATTGAGCCAATTTTATTGTGCTATTGGGCCAAATTCTTGTGACACAAGCTTATACCGTAACGTCCCAAATTTTATCATTTGAGCATTACTAACTAATAAACATTCATACCATTAGAGACACTAATAATAACCATAAACAATAAGAAATATATTTATCATTCATAACAGCTAAAGCATAATTCAATACTAATATGCGAAACTTTGGGAATTACATACACAAGTAAAAGGTACTAATCATCTAAGGAATGTTTAATACATCAATAAACCCCAATTAATTAAAATCCCTTAGTTAAAATAACATCTCTAAACATCCGCTTTGAGATCCCCATCATTGTCAATCTTAACTTCCCAATTTATCTACTCCTCTAGGCAAAGATCTTCCTCCAGTCTGAAATCTGAAAAATATTAATTGTAAAGGGTGAGTACTAAACTCTGTAGCAACTTTCTCCAAAACCCGCACGAGGTTTTAAAACATATAAAAACAGGTTGTCTCACTTTACAAAATCATATATAATCTTTGAAGTAAAACTTGAACATTTATAAGATCTCAAGTTTACAAAGTTAAGCTCAAACAACAATAAATAAACAAACCAATACCCAAGAAATAATATTAACATCAACAACATATATCATCTATGCAGGCTTGACTATAGTGAATCTATACAATTTTTTTAAGATCTCAAAGTAACACCTCGTAGGGTCACATCACAAATAACTTCAAGAAGGGCATATATTAACGCATCGGTAGGGACGAATCCTTCCCAGGATTATTTTGGACCAACCCTTAGCCTTGATCCACCGTGAACAAATAGTGTTTGGAACCCCACGTGGAACCAATCTCCTACGAGTGATAAGAAACCATGGTACCCCTTAAGGTCTCATAAACATCTAAACATTCTATGATATCCGGTTAAAAATAACTCACATACATCATACCCCAACACAAGAGATAATTTCCAATACCTTTCATCAAATCATTTTCTCAACCGAATAATTCAAGAAAATATGTAAGAGATTTTCAAATCATAATTTATTTGATCAAAATCAAGAATTAGGATTGAAATTCAAGAACTAGTGAGTAGCATGTATAAAACCTCTACTTATTCAAAGTCTAGGGTTTCAAAAGTAAGAAAATAGTTTTAGCATTATAAAACATAAATCCCATTAACAATGTTCTAGTAATTGCAAGAAAGTCAAGAATCAATGAATATTTATCATATAACTACGATAGAAAGTCAAAACATACTTATATAGTTACCCAACATCAATGTGCATATTTGAAAAGAAATCCCTACCTTACTCTGATGTTTGATATTAACCCTAGCATGTTTGAATCAATCCCAACGCGAAAATCCCTTCAAATCTTGCGTTTCTTCCTTCTCTCTCGCTCTCCAAAGTTGCATAGGGTTGAAAACTAATGAAATATGGATAAAGGAGTGTTAAATCATATTTGTAATTGGCTAATTTCATAAAATTCATTGTAAAATCTCAACTTATTCCATAGTTATAATATTTTCAAGTTCAAGATCTGAAAGCGTCATTAAGTGAGGAGATCAAGTGTCAAAATTATATCATTCAATCTTCATATGCACCTTCATGCTTAGGATAAATGTAATGATCTAGACACCAAAGATGAACACTTAGTTAATTTAACTTAGGTTGATTAGAATAAAATGGAATTGGAAGCAATCTGATTATGAATTTTATGTGATTTTAAAGGAAATTTTTTTATAAATCATTTATGAGTTTTGAAAATATAGTTTAAGTCACAATTATATTCCTCTTTGAGCAACACCCTTTAGTGCTCAAAATGATAAGTTTTTGCATAGGTTTATGCTTAAAAATTTAGAGAGATTGATCTATACTCGTAAGTCTTCGCTAGAAATATTTTTTTATGACTTAGAAAAGGAAACGGGAAAATGTAATGGAAGGCATGGTCACTCGAGCGGTGTCTTCCTTAGTCGTGTTTGAAACGTTGCTTTCATTTCAACGACAATCACCCTATGACCACTCTCCTATCAATCGAGCGGTTATTCACGAATCGGAGTTTTCTTATTTACTAGGACTACCCTTATTTTAGACTTATAAATAAAGAGAGCTTTTCTCATATTTAAGTTAAGTCTTTAGAGATATTTCTAGGAGAGAAACTCATTCTTCTACCTTGAGAGCTTCCACCACAAGCTAGATCCCTAAGATCCAAATACTACCATTAGAAATTCTATTCAACCTCACAAATTAGAGTTGAAGGTCTTATTGGTTTGATAAACCCATTAATGTGTGCATCTTGAGGATTGTTGGCATGCCCATAATCGCTTGAGGCCTAAACAGATCATACGGCGAGGAGGTCCAAGTAAAGCTACACTAGACATCGAAGATGAACTTTCGGCGGAGAAACATAGCAAGGGAATGAGTATCTAATCACAATATTGGTTGAGGTATAAGTTTTGAGTACTTATATGTTAACTTAGCGAGTAATGGATTAGGCTTTCGCGTCAACAAATCACTTGTGTTATTTATTGTTTATCATATACACTTGTGATTATAAGCAAACTATGTGTTTGTGAAATTGATTGTTTAACATCTATTCAATCATAATTGTGCAATTTGAGTTTTGGTATTGAGATCATTGTGAGATGATGGAGAGTGAATTAATTGAATATGAATTAAAATTAATCGTCACAGTTAAAGGTGGTTGCGGTGTGTAAAAGGGGTTCTCCTTTTTTTTTGCATAATACTTGCAAGCAGAGGTAATTGTGGTAGATATAGGTTCTAATTGGTTATCAATTTAGACTAAAATTGAAAAAAAATTTATTCACCCTCCCTCTAGGTATAGTATCTTGTGTCTTGTTCTCCACGTGTATAATTGTGAGAGAAGATCCATATCGGGTTCTCCCTCCCGAAACAACAAGCAACGATCTTTTGTATTTATAGGGTCAAAATATAAACAATCTATGTGAGTTTGATCATTGTCAACATCGTGCTTGCGTTCAAACGAAATATTAGCGTTTGAACATGCCTCGTTCAAACGTGAATGGCGTTCAAACATTCTTTACTCCCAATATCTCAATTTATGTTTGGCTTTCTGCTAGACACCAAAATATTGTAGCTAATTCCCGTTCAAATGTGACTCCTAATTCTTTTCAAAACTTCCACTATAGTTTTAACCTATTTAGAAGTCGATTTACAAATTTTTTGTGAAAATACACTTTTATAAATCTTGAGATCTATTTTTCTAATGTCAAAATTTTAAGTCAATCTAATATCAAACTAAAAATTTATGGTTAAAATACTAGGAACATATTTAGTTATTCTTTTCCGAACTTCTCCATACAATGAGTATAAGATGCAAAATACCTAATATCTACTAATACAACCTATGTGACTTATCTCTAACTCATTATTTATACATGCCACACATAAGATTTAATGTATATAATTATAAATAAATAGGGGTTTACATATTCCTAAGGAGGCCCCAATTTGAATTGGGTCTATTTTTTTGCAGGGCCTTTTCTTTGGTAATTCTCCGGCCTAGAGCTAGCCGATGGCCTATTGTTTTCTAAAAAATGATGAACAATCGAATTCTATATGCCCAAAAAGTTGCAAGAATCTTTGTTTCTAAAAGTGCTACAAAAACAATTGCATAAGTAATGTGGACATAAAACAATAGTGAATTTTGAGAGCCAAAGTCATTGTAGTTGAAAAAATAGCTAAAGATTTCAGTCGACATCACACATTTTTGTGAAGCCTCACATTCAATAATGTACAAGACAAATAAGTTGTTTCAGATCTACTGATATTCTCTTTTGTTAAAAGACTTGGTAAGATCTTCTTATAAAATCAAAGAGTCGAGTTTGAGCTTAATTTAAAGTTTTTTGTGAATATTCAATTTGACTCATTAAATTCTTATTTTTTTAATTTTATATTAGAACTAAAATATTACGGCTTTAGTTATTTAAATAAACTCAAATTGAAAACAATCTCAAAACTATTTTTTAAAATAAACACCACCAAATCATCAACACAACACTCAATTTGCTAGTGCAAATTTTTTTTTTTCGAAGATATATGTTCTGACACATTGATATTTGACACTGCCATTCTTTCTCAAGGTTGAAGGGCATAACCTTAAATGATAGAATTCTTCTAGGGTTTAGAATGTATGTGGTATATCTTTTGGCACTATGTTTATTTGGATACCACCCAAACAGTCATTCATATAAAAGACATGATTTCATGGCCAGTAGTTGCGTTAGTCAGAATTTCAGTATTCGATACTTGAAAACCGTCTAATTAGTACAAATTCAGACTATGTACATCAAAATAAAATTGGTGTTAACTATTTTTCATTGACTTTGTGAACATCTTTCTCCAAAGCCATTAGATGAAATTGATTAAAGGTGAGCAATAATCATGATTTGTCATTAGCTATAAATATGAGTGAAACAAATAAAAAGATTTTCTTAGAACCCTATTTCTTACTCATGTTGCACAAAAATCAACAAATTTGGAACTCCTTAAAAATATTTGAGCTAACCATGAACAATTTAGAGTTGAAAAATATAAACATGGATAAAATCATTTTCGATTCATCAATTTCATTTGCTTCATTGGATACATGGGTTCAAAAACCTAATAACAGAAAAACAAAAACAAAAAAAAAAAAAAGAAGGAAGAATTACACTCGGACCCATTTATGTTTGTCACTTAATCATTCAAATTTTTTGATATTTAAAATATTACACATAAACACCCTAAAATTTGTAAAACGTCAATATTCGAAAGTATATCCGTTAGTAAATTACACTCAAATCTCCTGAAATTTGTAGGCGTATAATACAAAGACCCCCAAATTTAAAATGTTACACTTAAATAAAAAATATTCTAATATCAAATATAAAATATTAAATATTTTAAATTTTACAACCAAAATTCATATTCTATTATGACATTTATTAAAACAAGTAATGCACCATGTGCGTTGCACATGAATAATTTTTTTTAAAAAATTTAATAAATAAATATTTGATATATTTCAACTTGAATTAAATATCATCTTAAATTTATCAAACTTATTTTTTCATCGTTCATGCTCCACTATAGATTTTTTGAAAATTTTGTACACTTTCAAGATTTGTTATTCTAACTTTAAGAAAAATGATAAAATAAATAATTAAAGTTCTATTTTTTTCTATAATTTTGTAATTGAAAGTGATTTTTTAGTGATGTGAAAATTAAATTTTTTAAAATTAATTTGATTAAAATTTCACTTTTAAATCATTGAATAAAATAAAAATAATTATCAATATATCAATCTTATTGAAACTTTATTGTATTTAGAATTAATTAGGTTGTTATAATATATATTATAAAACATATTAAAATTTTTAAAAAATTCAATTTTTTACATAAAATCTTAACACAATTTAAAAGTTTACTGTAACTAAAAAACCATGTAAATTACTTATACATTTTTTTTATCTTAAAAATAAAATGGTTAAATATATTGATAAAAAATAAAATATATATATTTAGTCATAATATTATCTTTAAAAACGAGACGAGTAATATTATATTGATGTAGTTTTTAAAAGTTTTTTAAAAATATTTTGTTAAAACTTATAATAATGTACATATTTTTTAATAGTAATATAATAAATCAAAAAGTTTCAAAAAATTGACAAATAGAAAATAGATAATTAAAAAATTAATTTGATTAAGATTCCACTTATAAACCATTGAATAAAATAAAAACAATTATCAATATACCAATCATATTGAAACCTTATTATATTTAGGATTATCTAGGTCAATTGAGATAAAATTTAACATATAATGTTGTAATATATATTGTAAAACATATTAAAATTTTCTAAAAAATTAAATTTTCACATAAAATCTTAACACTGTCTGAAAAATTTACCGTGACTAAAAAATTATGTAAAATTATAAATACATTATTTTTTATTTTAAAAATGAAAAGGTGAAACATTTTGATGAAAAAATAAAATATACATATAGGGTTAAACATTTTGATAAAAAATAAAATATACATATGTAGTGATAATATTATCTTTATAAATGAGGCAAGTAATATAATATTGATGAAATTTTTGAAGATTTTTTTGAATATTTTGTTAAAATTTATAATGATGCATATATTTTTTAAGAATAATATAATCAATTAAAACTTATCACAAAAATTGACATTTATATATAAGGAATATATAATTAAAAGTGATCTTAGATGTAATTTGGAGATTTAAATGCATAAAGTTATGATGATAATTTATATATTAAGTGTGGAAAAATAGAGTGACCTTTTTAATTCTTTATGAGGGTAAAATAGTGAATCAAAGTTTTTCATATTAAAGTATTTTTATTAGCAGTATAGATATAGATATAGATAAAATCAAAAATAAAGAATATTTTTTTTCTTAAAAATTATAATTTGTATACAATTATACTAACTATTGAAATTTAACGACCAAATTAAACTACTAAATTACCCCAATTAATGTTAGAAGATATTGTGTCTATTACAGTTTGACTCTTTATTTAATTTTTTTAGTTTTAGTCAAATAAATAGCATAATTATACATTAATTATAGTTTTTTAATAAAAAATTAGATTTTTATTTTTGATTTTTTTTAGTTATAAAATTCATGTTTTATTATGAATGACTTAAACCCCTTATTTGATTATTTAGTTTTATTCTAATAGATAGTACAATTGTATATCAATTACGATTTTAAGAAAAAATTAAAATTTTATTTTTGATTTTATTTTATAAATGATACAATAGAACATAAATTTTGGTTGTAAAATTTAAAATATTTGATATTCTATTTTTGATTAGAGTATTTTTGGTGTAAATATATCATTTTAAACTTGAGGGGTCTAACTATTATACGCTTATAAATTTCAGGGAGTCTGTATATAATTTACTAAAAAACATATCAACGAACATTGACGGTAAAAATCTAAATGTTAAGTGTATATAAATTTCAAGGAATTTGTATATAACATTTAGGCTTAATTGCACTGAAGGTTCTCAATATATGAAGTTTGTCTTATTTTGGTCCTTAATGTTTCAATTGCATCATTTTAATTCTTAAAGTATTGAATATATTTTTATTTGGTCTTTCAAGCAGACAATATGTCCTTAAAGTAGATAACATACAGATTACTAACAATTTTTTATCATAAACTTGTCACGTAATACTTAAATATGGACAAAAAAATATTTTTGATAGCTTTGAAATAAAATTTAGGTAATTCTTGACAAAAAATGTGTAGTATGAATAAATTTTGACCAAAATGTGGATAACTCATTATCAAAATTATGTAATTTGGGTAACTATTTAACTAAAATTTGAGTAGAAGTTTAATAAAAAATTATCTAAATTAATTTTTTATCCATATTTAAGTATCACGTGACAATTTATAATAAAAAATCGTTAGCAATTTAGATGCTATCTGTTTAAAGGACTATATAAAAATATATTCAATATTTCAGCGATTAAAATAATATAATTGAAATATTAGGGATTAAAATAAAATAAATTTCATATTTTGAGAACTTTGGATGCCTTTAATCCTAATATTTAAAATGTCAAAAACTTAATTGATTAAGTGACAAATTTCAGGGTATATGTAATTCTCCCAAAAAAAACTTATGAAAAAAAAATTTGCCACGTCATCACCGCCCACCAAAATAGAGTGTCGCGTCTGTACTGGATCCACCTCCCCCCCCCCCCCCCCCCGGTCCCTCTCTCTCTCTCTCTCCCTCCTTCATTCTGAGCATCTAAACTACTCTGTTTTTGCAATGAGCTCTTGATGTCTCAACCCAACAAGCGCTCATATACCACCATCAGCACCACCACTTCCACCACCTGTACCGGCGGTGCCGGCGTTGGCAACCACAATCTCACCTATCCACCTGCGGCAATGCAGAAGGCCAAGTCACAGGCCGTCGCGTTATCTCTAGACGGCAAGAACGGCCAACAACAGTCACCGCACGTCCACTTCGCTCCCGATATTGAAAGCGCCGTCGTCGATGACCCTAACTCTATGATCGAAGATCCCAATCCCAACGATGTCGTCGATGGTTCTTCCCCAGCTGGACGTGTCTCCACAAGTGGAGTCACCGCCAATTTGTCTCGGAAAAAGGCCACTCCGCCGCAGCCGGCGAAGAAGCTCGTAATTAAGCTCGTGAAAGGTTAGATTGCACTTCTTTTACCTTTCGTTTTGACCAATTTAGGTTTAGTTTTTGTGCGGAGTATTGGAATTTACTGATTGGTTTGGTCGTTGTTTATTCACTGCGGTAGAAATACGGTTTTGAATTTTTGATTGGTGAAATTGGAAGTGGCCAGCTAATGAAATGCGGGTTTAAGCTGACATTGAGAGGTTAACTGAGTAAAATGTATCGTTTAAGAATCAAAAATGAATAAATTGTGATGCTTTTGTCGTGCCTTTAGTTTAAAAAATTAGAATTGCGTTCATTTTGAAGTATTGATTGCTGAGTTTGGGATTATGTGTTAGTTTGAGCTGAAATTGAGTGGGTAATGGAGCAAATGGTGAATGAATTATGTGTGCTTTTTGCATCATTATATGGGATGGAACTTAGAATCATTTTGATTTACGCTTTGGTTATGTTGTAATAACCTAGGGGATTTGGCATAGTTCTTTTGAGTTCATTGAGGTTGAGGAAGGTCATGTATTGGGCATTGGGCGTTTAAATATCATTGACAGATTTGCTAAATGTGGGATTTGGTACAGTAAGTGCATGTAGTTAATATATTGTTAACAAACTTGGAAAGATTCAATTTTTGATTTATTGTTAGCGAACTTGGACAGACTCAATTTGTTGTTTTGTCCAGTTAATAAAAAAATAAAAAATAAAATATTGTTGTTTTGTCAATATTGAATGCAAATAAAGACATATGTCTTGCACGCTATCCGCTTTATGCCAAACATTGACACGAATGAAGGAAATATTGTTTTTGCTTCCCCTGTAAAAGAAATGGTTTTCTTAATTAATGTGCACACTTGAAAGCCCTAGACAAAATTAATTTTATGATTCTTAGACATTTTAACAAAGGGCAGCTGACTCATTTATATTAATTTGGATAATGTCCATCTTTGGCAATAGTTTGACCATGGAATCGAGTTCAATATTCGTATTAAAGATATTTGTATAGAACTTATGGTCACTAGCACCATGGGCTTAGTCTAACAAAGGTTTGAGTCAAGTGTGGGAGTTTTGCTAGGGAGGAAGTATGATTCTCAAGAAACTTTATAGTTAGACATTTTCCACTAGGAATGAACAGCCGAAATGTGGAATATGCATAGGGATTAAACTTATGACAAGGAATAAACAGCTGAGGTGTGTAATATGCATAGGCATTAAAATTGTGGTCATTAAAGGTGATGAAGAGTATGCATGTGGTTATACAGAGATAGAGAGAGAGAGAGAGAGAAGAAGAATGCAAAGTCCTAGTACATTGCTTTTCATCGATCGAGGATTGAGATAAACCTTAACTTCATGTTACTTCTTTGATTTCATCTCTATTAATGACTGAACTTTGTATTAAAAGTTCCTCTGAAGGCTTTTCAATGTCGTAAAATTCTTGATCATGGCTTCTTCCTTGTCTTGTCACACTCGTCTCACTTTATTTACCATCTAATTAGACAAATGACATAACTTTTGAGGATTCATGAATCTAAATTTCTAGCGATGTTATATGCGCTTAAAGAAAACTTAATTGTTGAGCCATTTACGATCATGACAAATCATAACTAGTATTATGAGCCCAAGGGTTTCCGATGAGGGCTTATGGAAATAAAATAGTTGGAATTTCTTCAAAATAAAATGGGGGTGAAATACTCTACGACTATGAAGTATGAATACTTTGTCAAGGTTGACATACCAGTATCGGATATGATACTCAAGGATACGTATCAAATACTCATTATACGTATCAGATAATTAATAAAATATGTGGATATTTTTTGGATACTTCTAAACATGGAGCAAGGTGTATAATTTTTAATTTTAATCTATACCCCTTTCTTTCGAGTTCACATACAATACAAAACATTAACAAGATTTTATTTAATTTTAAAGACATGAGTGTTTTTAAAATATTATCTCCTATTATATGTCGTGAAAGTATAAAAAAATGAATTAGTTACACTATCATCTTAAAAATAAATACTTGTAAACAAATCACTTAGTTAAATGTGTTTTTGATTCTTTTAATTGGTCACACTCATTTTATGAATATATTATAATGAGATGATATTACATCCGTTTCAAGGAAAAAATTTCTAATTTTGCTTATTACTGATAAAGAATTATTGACAATTGTAATTTTTAAGTTGTTAAATAATAGTAAAATACAAAATATATTTATTATACACTTATTCTGGCCGTATCTGTATCATATTTTTTTACGTTTTATCGTATCCATATTATTTGGTACCCGTATCATGTATTTGTATTTGTGCTTCTAGCTCTACAAAATTATGGAATTAACTAAAAAGGAATGGTGGTCATCTGCTGGAGTTGCCGGGGGGGGGGGGAGTTGGGAACAAGAAGCCATAGTTTATTGCATTTTAATGAAGAACTTGTCTATGATCACTTGAACAAGGAAGTGGTATTCTCATTGTTAAAAAAAATAAAATAAAAAGGGCGGAATTTGCAGGCAAGGTATTAGTAAGATGTGTGAAAAATACATTTGATGTGGACATAAGATTGTAATCCACTGAATGAGCAATTGGTGTTGGTCCCATTCTTTGGGATCCTTTTATTGTACAAGTTAAATTTGTTTTCCTTGGGTATAATTGTTAAGTTGAGAGAATTAATATAACACAATATTAGAGGTAATATTAGAGAGAAAGAGAGAGGTTAAAAACTTAACCTAACTTTCATACATTACTTGTATTTATAGTTAACCTACAATAACAATAATTACACATACACCCTTTTACTTTTAACAAATTACACATACTACCTTACTATTCTTAATACTCCCCCTCAAGCTGGACTATATATATATCATATAATTCAAGCTTAGAACAAATAGCTGTAAGACGTGTACGACTCAATGCTTTGGTAAATATATCTGCAAGCTGATCTTTTGATTTCACAAATGGAGTTATAATCTCCCAAGTTACTATCTTGTCCCGAATAAAGTGACAATCAACCTCAATATGCTTAGTTCTTTGGTGAAACACAGGATTGACAGCGATATGGATAGTTGCCTGGTTGTCACAGAACAACTATAAAGGAAGTTGAACTGGAAATCTAATTTCTTGGAGGAAGTGTAGTAGCCACGTCAGCTCACTTATCGTATGTGTCATTGCCCTATACTCAGTCTCAGCACTGGATATTGCTATCATGGGTTGTTTCTTACTTTTTCATGAGACAACATTACCTCCTAAGAAAATACAATAATCAGTGGTTGATCTCCGATCAGAAGGAGAGCCAACTCAATTAGCATCTAAGAAATCTTCTACTCTAAGATGTCCATTAGTTTGATATAACAGTCCAAGTCCAGGAGCTTGTTTGAGATATCGCAAAATACGAGTAACTGCCTACCAATGTGGTACTCTAGGACATCCCATGAACTGACTTACTATACTGACTGCATAGGAAATATCCGGTTGAGTAATAGTGAGATAATTAAGTTTCCCAACCAATCTGCGATACCGACCCAGATTCTCAAACAATGCATCATAATCCATCAATAATTTCTGATTCGGATCCATAGGAATATCAATCGGTCTACCACCCAGCAAACTTGCTTCCTCAAGTATGTCAAACACATATTTCCTTTGGGATAAACAAATACCCTGTTTAGATCGAGCCACCTCAATACCTAAGAAATACTTGAGTTTTTCCAAATCCTTAGTATGAAATCGATCTTGTAAGAATATTTTTAACTTGACAATCCCCTCAGAATCATTTTCAGTAATCACAATATCATCTACATAGATCACCAATAGGACATATCTAGCCTCTGTCTGTCTATGAAAGACAGAATGATCTGTCTGACATCGAAAAAGACCAAACTCTAAAACTACATCTGAAAACTTACCAAACCATGCTCTCGGTGACTGCTTTAAACTATACAAAGATTTCTTTAACTAACATACACTTTTACCATACTCCCCCTTAGCAGTAAACCCAGGTGGCTGCTCCATGTATACTTCTTCAACCAAATCACCATGTAAGAAGGTATTTTTGATGTCTAACTGAAACAAGGGCCAACCACGATTTGCAGCCAAAGAAATCAAGATACGAACAGAGGAAATTTTGGCAACAGGAAAAAAAGTCTCCTCATAATCAACACCATAAGTCTGAGTAAAGCTCTTTCCAATAAGCCGGACTTTGAGACACTCCACAGAACTATCTAGATGAAATTCAATAGTATACACCCAACGATAGCCAACAGTTCGTTTACCAAAGGGTAAAGGAACGAGATCCCATGTCTCATTATAATGTAAAACATCCATCTCCTCCTTTATAGTTGCCCTCCAACCCGGATCAGATAATGCGTCCTGTAAATGTTTAGGAATAGATATAGCAGATAATTGGGAAGTAAGACAGGAGATTAGGCATCATATGAAACAAAATGGGAAATGGGATGATGAGTAACATGAACGAGTACCTTCGTGAAGAGCAATAGGTAAAGAGTTTAAATTACCTGATGGATCAGGATCTGAACGCGGCAAGGAAGACGGTACGGGCACTTCAGTCAATGGGTGAGGACGGCGAGAGTAGACATGGAGAGGTAAAAGAGATGATAACACAGTGAGCAGCGGAATATCTGAAGATGAGGAAAGAGATAGTGGTACAAGAGAGGATTCAAAGTCCAGATCCAAAGACTGAGAAGGTACTGAAAAATATAGAACAGATTCTTCAAACGTGACATCGACACTAGTAAAATATCAGTGCAGAGAAGGACTATAGCAACGATACCCCTTCTGCGTACGTGAGTAGCTCGAGGGTTAAGTTTGTCAAATCCAGGGCCCAAATTGTGAACATAACAGACACAACCAAAAACCTTAAGAGTTAGGGAAAATAAGGATTTACCAGAAAAAAGAACAGAATATGGATTTTGCCTATTTAATACAGAGGATGACATACGATTGATAAGATGATAAGTAGTAAGAACAACATCACTCCAATAATATCGGAGAATATTCATCTGAAATAACAGGGTATGGGTGATTTCCAACAAATGACGGTTCTTGTGTTCAGTAACACCATTATGTGGAGAGGTGTAAGCACAAGAGGTCTGATGAATAATGTCAGTTTTATTAAGATAAGTTGAAAAAGGATCAGATTCATATTCCCGAGCATTATCGGAACGTAAAGTACGTATACTACAATTAAACTGAGTTTTTATTTCCTTACGAAAAGTTTCAAAGATAGAGAATAATTCGGATCAAGCTTTCATCATAAACAACCAAGTCACACGAGAATAGTTATCCACAAATGTCACAAAATAACGATATTTATTAGATGAAATATTCTATATTGGACCCCATACATCATAATGGACTAATTCAAATGGACTAGACACACGATTATTGACTCTAGAGTGAAATGACACACGGTAATGCTTACTAAGTTGACAAGTTTCACAAGACAAAGACGACACACAACTAAGACTGAGAACTTGACGCTTCAGATTCTGGAGAGAGGGATGTCCAAGATGACAATGCCACTGAAAAGGAGACAACGAGGTCTATAGGGCCCGAGTAGGTGAATCAAAATCAAAGTAATATAAGCCACTAGTCTCATACCCTGTACCAATCTTCCTCTTCGTCTTGAGATCGTGAAAGACACAATAAGATGAATAAAAGGTCACAGAACAATTGAGAGAACGAGTAATCTTACTAATGGAAAGTAAACTAAAAGGAAACTGAGGGACAAATAACACGGAAGATAGGGACATATCAGGACTCAAGTGAGTAGTCCCAAGACCTAACTTTAGAACAAGTACCATTAGCAAGAGTAACTATGTGTGGAAGTAATAGGCTGATAAGTAGAAAAAATAGCAGACGCACCAGTCATGTGGTTAGAAACGCTAGAGTCTATGATCCAGGGGCTGCGAGTGGAGGATAATAAACAAGTAGGAGTGCCTGGGCAAAAATAGCAATGGAGGGAGATGGTATAGCCCGTTGTTGGGACAGAAACTGGGTATACTCCTTTCGACCCAGTATAATAGTAATTGACCCAGTGTCTGGTGGAGCTGACCGAGGTATGGGAGCAACAACAGAGGTATCATCCTAATAAGAAGCCTGATTCGCAGCACCAGAAGGTTTTCCACGCAAATCCCAACAGAAATCAATAGTGTGCCCTCCACAACCATAGTGAGTATAGAAACGGGGTCCACTACGGCCCCCACGACCACCCGTACGACCTCCTGTACGACCTCCTCGACCACCATGTCTACCGCGATGACCGTCACTATAGCTACTAGGAACCACAAGAGCTAAGCGATCAGTGGAGACACCATGATCAATGCCTGAAGGAGTAGACAGTGTAGCACGCTGTAAACGAGAGAAAACCTTAAGTAGTGATGGAAGACTAGAACCACCCAAAATCTGAGAACGAATAGTCTCATATTCAGGTTTCAATCCTACTAAAAACCTAACAACATTCAGGTCCTTATGTTGCTTTTGCCAAACTGCTGCATCAATAGTAAACGGATGGTAGGTCTTCATCTTTTCACAGACTCTCCGAACATGAGAGTAATAATCCGCAAGACTCAGAGTACCCTGCTCTAACCGGAAGTATTCCTTGCACACCTCATACATACGGGTAAAATTACCTGTACCAGAATACATGGTGGCCAAGTGATCCCATATTTCATTGGCAGTGTCAAGGTAGAGTAGAGTGGAACTATTACTAGGCTCAATGCTATTCCGGAGTAAAGACATTTTTGAGCATCCTCTTGTTCTCATTGATCATACCAGGAGTATCTTCTTTGGGTTTAGGATCCACCAAATATTTCTTAAATCCTTTGTCTCAAAAAATTATTTGAGCGGATCGGGACTATAAAGTATAATTGGTCCCATTGAGTTTAACAGAGGTAATGTGACCATTGATAAGAATGGGGGGTGGCAAAGATGGAGTAAGAGACTTGGTATCTTACTTGGGTTCCATTACAGTGCAACAAATATGGAACAAGAAGTGCTGCAATGTAGAACCAGAGAAAAGAAGGCTGCTAAAAGACTGAACCGAACTGGCTGGGCTTGCTGGACCACTGAACTGGGAAGAATAGGTTGACTTGACTGCTGAATCGGACTAGAGAAGCCCACTTGAGGGCTGAACCGGACCAGAGATACCCGCTGGACCACTGAATCAGGAAGAATAGGCTGACTTGACTGCTGAACCGGACTAGATAAGCCCACTTGAGAGCTGAACCAGACTAGAGATACCCACTGAAGCACTGAACCGGACTGAAACTGATTGAACCAGACTGAACCGGACCTGGACCGGTCAGGTCTGGATCTTGGATCAGGATCTGGTTCTAGGTCTGGATTTGGATCCTTTACCCAAACCCATAAACTGACCCACTTGAACAGGGTCTTCTCCTTTGCTGGATAGGGTTTCTACCAAACCCTATGCCTTCACTGTTGAACACCACCACAACACCAAACACCGAACACCACCACAACAGCACCGAACACCACCACAACACCACTGCAAGGCAAAACTTAGACTCCACCAGGTCAACTACACCACCACGAAGACAGTCGCCACCAACGACTGTACCACTCGACTGCACCACCACGAATCAAAAAAAAAAAAAGGAACCAGACTGAGTCGACACCACCATCATCGACTATACCAATGACAGCAACACCACACCAATAGTAACAACACCAAGATTAATGCTCTGATACCATGTTAAATTGAGAGAATTAACATAACACAATATTAGAGGCAATATAAGAGAGAAAGAGAGAGGTTAAAAACTTAACCTAATTCTCATACATTACTTGTATTTATAGTTAACCTACAATAACAATAATTACACATACACTCTCTTACTATTAACAAATTACACATACTACCCTGCTATTCTTAACAATAATCATACATTATGATGAAATCAAAATATTTATTTTTCTTCTGGTTCTTCAAATGATCCTTTTTTTTGAGTGAGTCTGTTTGTGCACATTTTTTTTTTGGGGGGGGGGGTGGGGATGGTAGGTTGTTAAATGTTAGTTTGCTGTACCCACAAAATATGGTTTGAGACTGATCCATGGATGCAGGCAATTGTTTGCAATGATGCATGTTAATTAATACCAAATTGATGCACGAGCATTTGATATTATTGATGCATATGACATCGCAAGAACAAGAATCAAACTTCTTGGTCTTGGGTTTTCTGGTATCAAAGTATGAAGGCTTGTGCCATCTCACAGCATGAAAGCATTGAGAAGATCACATTTTTTTTTTCTCAGGAAGAATTCACTAAAGGCATTTAAGAGTAGTAGAATGTGACAAGTTGCTTAGTAACCAACCACCTTCTATTTTGCATTTTTGATCTTTTGTGATGGATCATATAAAAAGGCCTAAAGTGAACAATGATTGAAATTTGGAAGGCCTTCTCTGTTTTTTGATGAAACACCTTGAAACCATTCTGGGAAAAATCCTTTGAGGCTCCATTTGTCTGATGAATATGCCCTGTTGTGAAATTCTGGATGGTGACTTCGACTTATTGATTTTATATTGGGGAGATAAACCCACACAAAATTGATCCATATTGAAGGAATATAGCTTAGAGTGTTTTCATTTCCTCACTTGGTACGTTTCATTTTTATTTTTATTTTTTGTCTCTTTGAAGCTAAACCGATGGTGCCAACGAATTTTGAAGAAAATACATGGGCAACTCTGAAGTCAGCTATTAGTGCCATCTTTTTAAAGCAGCCTGACCCTTGTGATTTGGAGAAGCTCTATCAGGTGGGCTGTATTCCATTATACTTCCTTCGTTTAGGATTAGATGTCTCTTCAGTGTGAATTAATTCAATCTGTTTTCATTAGGCTGTCAATGACCTTTGTCTACACAAGATGGGGGGAAGTCTCTATCAACGAATTGAAAAGGAGTGTGAAGCGCACGTATCAACTGCACTTAAGTCTTTAGTAGGCCAAAGCGAAGATCTGGTGGTATTCTTGTCGTTAGTCGAGAAGTGCTGGCAGGATTTTTGTGACCAGATGTTGATGATCCGTGGTATAGCCTTGTATCTTGATAGAACTTATGTGAAACAAACCCCAAATGTGAGCTCATTGTGGGACATGGGCTTGAAGCTGTTCCGCAAACATCTCGCCCTAGCTTCAGAAGTGGAGCACAAAACTGTCTTCGGCCTTCTGAAAATGATTGAGAGTGAAAGGTAAGCTTTGAACGCTTTAACAAAATTACAAGTTCTTGTGAGTGTACATGGTTAGGTTTATGCAGTTATGCCCATTACTGCACATGTATATAAGGAATCCTCTCCCCCCCTCCTCTTCCTATCCCCTTAGCCTTACGATTGCTAACTGTGCATGAGAATTATAAATCCATAAAAGGGTACTTTCTATACTACCTATAAATGGAATAGTAACAATGTTGATCCGGCGGTCCTGACGGCTCATATCCTGGGGTGTGGGCTCTTGAATTAATAATGGGATTATTGGCTATTATAGTGATTACAACATTGTTACTAGATTTGGTAACTTAGAGATTTGTAATCGAACCATGATATATCTTTGGCAATATGTTTTCTGTGAGAATTCCATTAGGCTGGGCTGCACTAGTGATGAATGTAAACGTTTCTTCGAATTAATCGTTTTCCAAATGTTGTAAGGTGGTATTAAGGTGCTGCATGTCTAAATTCAGGAAAAATATCAAACTAAATACTTATGTATAGACATTTGAACCAATTGGAAAAAAATAGAAAATCAGATAAAATTACACTGCATGTTGAGGTTGGCAACAAGATTCCAAATTGCACGATTAAAACTTCCAGTTTTTTTTATTTTCTACCCTCATTCGCGATCGAAAATATAAATTTTGTCGATATATGAATGATATTTGAGAGAAGGGTTTTAATTTTAGATGGTAAACATGACTGGGGTGAGATTGAACTAGAAGTTCATGCCCACCATTGTACAGGGGATAGGTTTTGGACTGATGCAGAATCCCAATTTGGAGGCACTCTCCATGTTTTTTCTCACCTAAATTCTCATTAACATATCTCTTTTGGCTGAGAGTAATAACTTCTCCTCCATTTATGTTGAGCTCTACCTTGAGTGTTATGTGTAGTTTTCTAGCGCAATGCAGAGTCCAATATTGAAATGACACCTCCTTTCTTACATATATATGATTTTTTCATTTTCTATGTTCTTGCGATGCGGAGTGCATGAAGCTTAATGAGGGTAAGGCTAGCATCACCTGAATGCATGTACCATGGTTGTGAGTCGTAATATATAGTAGGGGCAGTACTATTGAGACTCAAATGTTTAGATCAATACACTTCCCTCCTTTCTATTCATGAATTTTTTTTATGCTCTTACAAAGTAGAATACCTGAAGGCTGAAGTTAAGTTTGATTCTGTAATAGGAATTGATTACCTGTGTAGACATTAGAAATTTAAAAAATGAAACAATGTCTATATTAAATAATTGGGGCTCAAATTTAGTTTAACAAGTTTCTAAAAAATGAAACAATGTCTATATTAAATAATTGGGTTGAACTTATATTCCATAAGCCCAAAAGATGCACAACATACCCATCAGTAAAGCCCAATTTTTTTTGTAAATATGGATGACCCACTCCATGATGTCCATATAGGGGTATTTATGTAAAATACTCTGGTATAAGTTAACCACTCTGTTGTGAACGTGCACTTCAATAAACAATCAAGAACTAAGGAGTCGTTTGGTAACGTTTTTGTTTTCGCGTCTTCAAAAAAATAAAAAACAGAGACAATTTTTGTCTTTATTTTGTGGTAAACACTGAAATAGAAAACATGTTTGGGAGTCATTTGTGTCTATCAAATTATGAGAATAAAAACAAAAAACATGTTTGGTAACTACTTCAAATTTTATGCTAAATATTAGCTTTATAATATCTCATACAAATCAACCCGTGTGAAGCAAAATCCAGTTCCCCACTGCTACTTCCAAAATCCAGTTCATACTTCACTTTCATTCCCATTTACATCACAAGTTATGGATTTAATCCTTCAAAACATTTAACCACCAATAGAATTGCAGCAAGGCTTCTTCAAAAATCACAGACCAGCAAACCCCTCATACCCAGCAGCAGTTTCAGGCCATCCAGTAGGCATTACTCGTTGATCTTGTCTCCATAACAAACCAAAAACAAAACTACGAAGACATATTCACATACAAAACTACAAAGGAGAAGTCTTGCCATAACAAAACTGTATTTCTTTTTCAATTCTAATGATTGTATACAATCTCAGCCCAAAGATTGGTAAGCAACTGATGCAGTCTGAACAACATCTCCAGTCTCCATTTTTTTTTTTTGAACAAATCAACACTTTATTTCATGTTTAAAAAATCAATTACAAGAAGCAACCACTCAAGTGTACAATGAATTAAGAAACAAAAATTTTCTTCCCAAGTTTCTTTACACCTTGTTGATCATGGAGCAGGAGCAGCTTAGCCTAAGGAGGAAGGGACATTACCTGTGAAAAATCTAATGAACAACCACACTGCACAACAAAATTAGCAAAAAAATCTGCTAAGCAATTGGCTTCCCGGTAAACATGGGACAGACAGAAATGCAGATGCTCAAAAATCCTTCTACACCTTCATAAAAAATCCTCCTACACCTCTCCCTCCATGGCTGCCAATACACTACCAAAGCCAGGCCTCCAATCTCCAATCTCCATTTGAACATGCCACTTTAATCCCTAATATACCATTGATTAAATCCAATGACTGTATTTCTTTTCTATTTCCACTTCCAATTTCAACACACAGACCACGCACAGAGACAGACACCCAAAACACACACACACACACACACAGATCGACACACATACAAACACATATACCCACACACACTTATACACATACCCACCCACAAATTGACACACACAGACACATACTCACAAATCGACACACATAAGCTCACACACATACAAACACATATCTGAGCTAGATTTATGTATATTTATGCACATATATACAAATTTATGTATATATGCATATATATACACAGATCTATGTATATTTATATACATACCTTCACATCAACCTTTCAGCTCGATCGATAGACGGTTCCATTGAAGAAGGCAGCAACGAAGATTGATTCGTTCAAGCAGATAGCAAGATGGAATGGAGCTTGGATTCGTCTTCCAGAACACACAGACACCCACCCACAAGAAGCTGCATCGGTTCATCTTCGTATACAGAGAGAGAGAGAGAAAGAGAGAGAGAGACGAAGTGAGGATGAGGTCTGAAAGTGGAGATATTATACTTCCACAAAAAATAACACCTTTTGTTGGTAATGAGGATCGAATTTGAGACCTTATTAAAATCTTTCAGTTGGGTTGCGCGTGTTTCATGTTTCTGGTGTTTCTTGGAACATAATTTTTTTGTTCCCATTTTTTTGACTTGTTTCCAAGGCAACTAAGATGAAACAAAAAATAAAAACAATTACCAAACACTTTTTTGTTTTCATTTTTGACAAAAATTGAAAACAAAAACACAAAACAAGAGACAAAAACACTAAACAAACAACCCTAAATAATTAAGAATAAGAATACGAGATTTATGTGGTTCGGTAGAAATTTCCTAGTGGCTTACAACATATGTATAGGTCTTAATTCTTGTTGAACTAGGAAACCTAGTGCTAGTAAAGTTAATACACAGTCCTAGTAAAACTCCTCTACTAAATGTACATTGCAAATTCTCATTATACCCATACCATTTTGCGAGGCTTACGCCCCCTTATCCTCCACGCCCCCAACTTGTTATATGATCTTAGCAATCGTCAGTAGTTGCCATTGATGGCTATTGGGTGCCTTTTCGCTTTGCTCCACTCCTTTCATTACGGTTCACTATTTGTTGCCCATGACTCATTAACTTTTGGGCTTAGTGAATATGCTACTAGTTGTATAAATAGGATGCTTAAGGAGGAGGAAAAAAGGGAGAAGAGGAGATCAATTGGAGTCTTGCAAATCAGTCTCAGATAAAAGAATATCTTGCAAGGTTCCTTTTCAAGAGATTCAAATCATTTTCATGTGGTTAACACAAAGAACAGTGAGAAGATCCACTAAAATCACTATCATCATCATCAAATTGAAAATCTTAAAACGTGCTTACTTGGCCCTCATATTCACCAAAGTATTTGATTTTGGTTGTGCATGTGGAAGCATTCCAATGGGAGTCAACACTTCTTGTAATCGAAGTCAAAGAATCAAACAATTGTAATTTGACAATCTTTTTGGGTAATTTTGCACACAAATTGGTCATTAGTAATTACAACAGGATCTCCCATTTTTTTTTTTTCGGTTGCGCACAAGTATTTTGAGTTGACTAACACAAATATTTAACTCGTTTGCAATCTATTAATGTTAAGTGAACCCTTGGACATCTAAACATACAATTTGTTGCAGATGTTGAATTTAACAATTTTTATGTTGATTTGGAAGAAAGCATTATCTTGTTTTGACTTTTGACAATTTTTACGACTAGTAAAATTGAGAAAACCATCAACCATAGGTGTTAATCTCTAATATATCCTATATCAAACAAAGAGGAGCCAAAAACAAACTAAAAGAGAGAGACATGCTTTAACAATTTTTGCATTTACTTATTGCATAACAAATATGACAACGTAAGCTTGACAACCAAATTTCTTTGATGGGAGATAGATTGCGATGCAATTATTGATGGGCCACAAGAGTACAATGCAAATATCTGCTCTTTGATCTCAGACTTGAGCTTGGATTTTGTTACTTTTTTCTACAAAAGAGAAAATCTTTACTTAGTCAAGTACTTTTTATTTAGTCGACAATGTTTTTTTGCATCGTAATAAACCAAAAAGGTTGTCACAACACCTTATTGCATAACAGTAACCAACAGGACTATGATTTAGGGTAGCGGAGGTAAGATCCCCAATTCCATTATGTTGACAGACTTCAATTTTCATATATACCCATAGAGCACAGAGACAATACATCAGAAATTTTTTGATTCTATGGTTAGAGAGGAATGCAAGGATTTTTGAAGATAAGTTCGATACCGATTGAGTGGTGGGAAAGAGTTCTATCTTTGGGTTCTCCTGAGTTTGATGGAATCCTTTTGCTTTAAAATAGGAAATATTGGAGTGTTGTTTGTGAGATGTAATCTATTTCTTGGTTGCTTATTTTTTCCTTTTTGCAACTTTTAGGAGGACTACTTGTCTTTCATGTACTGACTTTGAAACTATTAATGAAACTTGATCTTGTTGCTGATAGAAAATTAGATCAATATGTGCTGTATTCCCCTTTCCAAAATAAACTTATATATTATATCATATTGCCCAGGAACTTGATCTTGTGTCTTTACTGCTTTCTGCACAGCAATTGTCAAAAGCTTTATACAGTATGTGTTAGTTGCCTTAACACATCCATTTTATTTTTGACAGAACATTTTTTTGTTTTGATAGCTGAAAATCATCCTAACCCCATACCCTTTGAATTCGTGGTTATACCATAAACTCGGATTACACATAATCCTTGCAAATCTTGTACATTGGATCAGGCAGGGCATCTCTTTCAAAAATTTTAATAGAAGATAACCAATAAGAAGTATTTTATCAATTTAGTTCCACAAATCTGTTGTTTTGCTTGCTAATTTTTTAGAACTTGTTCTTATGGTTATTTTCAATTTATATCACCCAAATTCCCCCATTCTCCTTTCCCTGGGAAAAAGGAAAATGATGTTTTAAGTTGTTTGTAGTGATTTATTACTATCAGGATGCCATTCCTTGTTCGAACCATCTAGTAATATGCAACATTTTTTTTTAGATTAGGTGAAGCAGTTGATAGGACTCTCCTTAGCCATCTTTTGAAGATGTTCACTGCGTTGGGAATATACTTGGATAGCTTTGAGAAGCCATTCCTTGAACGTACATCTGAATTTTATGCTGCTGAAGGCATCAAATACATGCAGCAGTCAGATGTGCCAGATTATCTTAAGCATGTGGAGGTGTGTTGTTTACGTGCTTTTGCCCTGTTTTCCTTCTTTTCAACTATTAAAATGGATGTCTGTTCAATATCTCTTACGTTCCTTTGTTTTTCTAGCTTATGGATTGTGTATTTCCTTGCACTTTCCAGCTGAAAGGAAAATAATGATCTTGCTTATTTTTTTACTCCAGGTAAGGTTGCATGAAGAACATGAAAGATGCTTACTATACTTGGATGTAAGTACAAGAAAGCCACTAGTAGCAACTGCAGAAAGGCAACTCCTTGAACGCCATATATCTGCAATTCTTGATAAGGTATGAATTGCGACTCCGTTGAGTCATCCTTTCCCATTTCCTCTATGTATGCTAGAACTGGCTCTGCTTTTTTATGGTTCATCTTATCCTGATCTATATGTCCAGGGTTTCACGATGCTGATGGATGCGAATCGCATTGAGGATCTTCAGAGAATGTACTCACTTTTTTCTAGGGTCAATGACCTTGAATCGTTGAGGCAGGCTCTTAACTCTTACATTAGGAGAACTGGGCAGGGCATTGTCTTGGATGAAGAAAAAGACAAAGATATGGTATCCAGCCTCCTAGAATTTAAGGCATCTCTTGATACCATATGGGAAGAAAGCTTTTCAAAGAATGACACATTTGGCAACACCATCAAGGATGCATTTGAGCACCTCATTAATCTCCGGCAGGTATCATTTTCTCGTTGAATAGGATGTTCATTGTTCACGATGTTATAGCCATTGCACCTCACAAAACTGTGGGCCATGAGCTTCACCATCTTCTTAAAAGATTAATTTATATTTTGCCATTCTCCCGGCTAAGTAATCATGTTGTAGAAATATGTTCTCTGTATGTAATTATTCTTTTCTAAGCAACAAAAATGTTGTCAGAGATCTGAAAATGAAGCATGAGAGAGCGAAAACCAAGAGTCCATCCTACTAGGAAGGAAAAAATTGAAATACTAAAATGTCTTAGAGCTCTTTTAGCAGCTGTCTGTGTGAACTTGATATTCTGTTTTTGTTTTCCAGCGTTTATTTTACATCTCTGAATAGATGTAAAGCAGCGACACGTGGTTTTACCAGAACAACATTTTGCATTTGAACTCTTTGTGCTCCCCAACTATAAGATGATGTCAGAAATTTTCTAGCCCTATATTTTGTTAATTTGAGAATTGTCATATTTTATTTGGGTGGATGTTTCATAAATAAATGTCTTGCATATTCCTAATATCAATTTTTGAGTGTGTAGGGTATGGAACTTACCACACCTTAGACTGAATATATGATTTAATATTTAGAACTTCAGTAAAAATGGTAGTTTGTGATGGCCATATTTCTCTTTGTAATCCCTCATGCTGGATCTTGTCAACTGTCTATAGCTGTCTTATACAAGACCCTTACGATACTGATTCTGGTGACTTCCAAGCTGACTGAAAATTCAGCTATCAAGTAGCATTCTATCCAACCTACTATTGTGCCCTATTTACCCTGTCATTGTTTAATTAATGTCATAGAGAGAGTGGATGATTAATTACTTGAAAGTACCCCTTATTTTGTGCCCTCTTTTTGTTTTTGACTTACAGCCTGTGTGGTTATAATGTTAAAAGGACCCCGAGTTGAGAAAATCCATACAACTGTAGTTCAATCTCTCAGTCTCATGTAAACCTCGATGAAATATTCGGCATTTTTTGGCATATTAATCTGCCATCATTTGGACTCTCCATTTTATTCGTTCAATCTCAAAATCTGACAGTGTTTTTCTGCTTTGTAATAGAATCGACCTGCTGAGCTTATTGCCAAGTTTTTGGATGAAAAGCTTCGTGCTGGGAATAAGGGTACATCGGAGGAGGAATTGGAGGGTACACTTGATAAAGTGTTGGTTTTATTCAGGTTTATACAGGTAATGGCAACCAACTCTTGCTGTGTTAGACTAGCATACTGCCCATTTCCATTTCTTCTGCTGCTTGTATTGATTTGCTACTTACTACTGTTATATTTGACATCGAAAAATGATATTTAATGACTTGTCATATTTTCTCTTATTTATTTAGGGTAAGGATGTCTTTGAAGCATTCTATAAGAAGGATCTCGCAAAAAGGCTACTGTTGGGAAAAAGTGCTTCCATCGATGCCGAGAAGTCCATGATTTCTAAGGTTAAGGATCTCTTGGGCATTTTTGTCGAACATCTTACATCTCCTTATCATACTAAAAAGTTTCCATCATTATTCCAGTTGAAGACCGAATGTGGCAGCCAGTTTACCAATAAACTTGAAGGAATGTTCAAGGTGTATATTTTTGCCTAAAATTCTTTTTTCTATTCAGAAATATTGAGAGATGTGTATCTTTATGTTGTTGATCATAAATTGTGGGATGTTAGTGTGATATTGGTGCTATTGTACTATAATAAAACTTGAGATTGACTTTACATAGGTAGATGAAATTCAGCATCAACTTCTCCCAGAACCTTTGTTATATATTGAGTACAAGTGTGATGCCTAGGTAAGTCCAAGCGTCAAATTTTTCTTTCTCCAAATCCAAGCTTCTTTTATTTCCTATGGTAAGATAGTGTTTTTAGGTAAGATAGTGTAACAATTCAATCTTTTATAACTAAGATATAAAGGAACATATGTCGAGGGTTTATATATGATCAGGGGCGAAGCCAGGACCTCTTCACCGTGGGGGCAGCTATTATGTTGAAGAAAACACTCAGACAACCATCATCAATAGTTGTTGCGCCTCTCAACTAAATAGTTAATAGTCTTGTCAATGGTCAGATTTTGATAGGATTTTGCTTGATCAAAACCCGATTTGAAAATTCGATTCAAATTTGATCCGACTATCCAACGAACTTAATTCTTACCGTTCATATCTTGAATCCCTTTAAAAATAAAAGCCGATTTACCTAAATAATTAAATCAGAGCTGAATTTTAATAAATTACATTCCAATCTCAACTCAACATCATTAAATAATCACTCAATTTCAACTATAACATCTGTACATGTATGCAATGATATCGGATAATTTGTGATCCGATTTTGGTATATCAATAACCATATAAATCAGTGTCTAAATTTTTTTGCATGAATCTCAGAAGTTTTAAAAATTGGAGTGGGTGAAATTGCCCCAACCTAAATCCGCCATTGTATGTGATTTTTTTTTTTTTTATCATAGGATAACCACAAACACTTACACTTAAAAGTGTAAGGTTCATGGCTTCCATATAAACTCACACGCACACCCTAAGGCTATCCGATATGGGATAGCCCCATCCCACCAACACACAAGCCCTAAGGCCTCGCCTGACCTATGGTCAGGCCCTAAGTGAGGGGAAACTGAGCCCAACACCAGAATCACCCCGGAATACCCACATGGGCTTTGGTTTTTTTTGATCATAGGATAATCACAAACACTTACGCTTAAAAGTGTAAGGTTCATGGCATCCATAAAAACTCACACACACACCCTAAGGCTATCCGATGTGGGATAGCCCTAGCCCACCAACACACAAGCCCTAAGGCCTCCCCCAACCTATGGTCAGGCCCTAACTGTGGGGAAACTGAGCCCAACGCCAGAATCACCCTGGAATACCCACATGGGCTTTGGTTTTTTTTGATCATAGGATAACCACAAACACTTACACTTAAAAGTGTAAGGTTCATGGCATCCATATAAACTCACACACACACCCTAAGGCTATCCGATGTGGGATAGCCCCCGCCACTGTATATGATTGAAAAGTGAGGTTAAACTATTAAACATGCTCCTTGGAGCATTTACAATATGGACTGTACACAACTCAAACCTTTATGTAAAAACATTAGTGGAACTGCTTTGTTGGAGAATTTAGTCATTTACAATGGGACTTGTGTGCAGAACTCATACTTCTTCCCAGGTGTTGTTTTTTTTGCCACAGCAGTTACTTCATACATCTGGAAGGGTCCATTGGCTTTAATTTCTATTCACTCAGTCATCTCAGTACTTCCCTGCTCATAAAACGGTTGCTGAAGAGGCATGTTGACAATTGATATCCTCTATTTAAGCCAGTCGTGTCTGATAATGTTTTTTAAGTAGTTTATCGTGCAGGCAAGTGCATTCGCTATAGGTCCACATGCCTTCCCAGAGGCAGGGAATAGTTGTTGGGGAAACTAGACATACCTAAGACATGTGACAATGTTATGAAGCTTATGTTTCGGTTTGTTACATGTTTGAAATGTTGTGTAGTTCACAATGTCTAGCAATTATGTGAATGTTTTTAGACATTGCAAATATATACAGTTATAGAGAAACAACTAAATATGTATGACATGAATCTATTTTTTATGTAAGCAAAAATATGCCCCTGTAACCTATTGGCTTAGTTTTGCTTTTACAGAAAGTTCTGTGCCATCCCTTGTGGTGACTTAATGCGGTTTACACGCACAAGTAATAGAGTGGTCCTCCTGCCATGCATATCTGTTTGTGCTTGCCTGATATCAACTTTGTTTGACTCTTGACTTTTGTTTTTTGAGATCATGTGATTTTTGGTTGTTTAGTCGAATTGATGGCAAGGGGAAGGTAGCGTAGACAAATATGTTGATGCTACAGCTTGTAAAGCTAGGACGAGTGTATTTACACCCCCCCCCCACAAAAAAAAAAACACTTTTATTAGTTTAGCTTTTCTTTGTGACTACATAGTATCTTTACATGAATGGCACCATGTTGTACGTATTATGATATTCAATAACACTTTACAGGACATTGAATTGTCGAAAGAAATAAATGAATCTTTCAAGCAATCATCCCAAGCTAGGACAAAACTCCCATCAGGAATTGAAATGAGTGTCCACGTCTTAACGACTGGGTATGTTGCAATCCTGTGCTATTTCATGTGTCTTTCTCAGTGTGGATGGAGGTAACTCTGATTACGAATTCTTGAGGAATCTAACATGACATATGGTGGTCTGGACTGCAGATACTGGCCAACATATCCACCTATGGATGTTCGGCTTCCCCATGAACTCAATGTTTATCAGGTTTGCACAAACTGGAAAATGGCTGCTTTGCATTCTTGGCACTATTGCATATTTCTTTGTCCAACTACCCAATTATTTATTTGCATATGTTTTTATATTTCTCTCTTGCTGCTGCAGGATATTTTTAAGGAATTCTACTTAAGCAAGCACAGTGGGAGAAGATTAATGTGGCAAAATTCATTAGGTCACTGTGTGTTGAAAGCAGAATTTCCGAAAGGTAAAAAGGAGCTCGCAGTTTCTCTATTTCAGGTGGGTCTTATTTGGGTTTCCTCACATTGTTGGTTTTACTGCTTTTTCCTGTTCTGCTCAAGTTCTAATAAATTGGTTGGTGTATGTTCTCTTCTCCAGACTGTTGCTTTGATGCTGTTTAATGATGCCCAAAAGCTTAGCTTTCATGATATTAAAGACTCTACTAGCATTGAGGAGAAGGAGCTGAGAAGAACTCTGCAGTCCCTTGCATGCGGAAAAGTTCGTGTCCTTCAAAAGGTGGATGGTCACTGCAGGACTTGCATTTTTATTTATATAATTGAAAATTTTGCTTGTTGATTTTTTATTAACATGAAGTGAAAATTTTTCCTTGTTTTGTCCTTTTTCCTGAAATAATAATAAATAACTTTTTTCACAGATTCCCAAAGGTAGAGAAGTGGAGGACAATGATTTGTTTTTGTTTAATGATCAATTTGCTGCACCTCTCTATCGTATAAAGGTATGTATATGTGGTCGCTTATCAAATTGAAAATGTCTTCTAGTTGTGTATTTTGTAAGGTGCAGTCAGGTGATCTTTAGTTCTAATAGGCAGTGTAGAAAGTAGATTCACGGACTCAAAACTCTTTTTCCCGTTAGTTTTTTTACTTTTCATCTTTTGAGCAACTCAGCTTCCTATGTAGAGCTGGCTGGTTGTACAATTGAGTCTTATGGGATTGCTTACTCAAATAGCAGACTTGAAGCTAATATTTGATTTGCCTTTTGCAGGTAAATGCTATTCAGATGAAGGAAACAGTGGAAGAGAATACAAGCACCACTGAAAGAGTATTCCAGGACCGTCAATATCAGGTTTACTTCATTGTCCATAATCGATAAAATAGTAATGCAAAAATTTTCCCAAATCCTTAATTTGAAGTTATGGTCAAGCTAATACATAAGTGTTTGTTTCAATTGCTCAACATATGCAGGTTGATGCTGCTATTGTTCGGATAATGAAGACTAGAAAAGTGCTGAGTCACACACTCTTGATAACTGAACTCTTTCAGCAGGTAATAATATATGTATATATTGTATCCTAATCACTTATTTAGGTGAACTCAAAGAGAACTAACAAATTGAAGGATGAATGTCTCTGTTTTGGTGACGCAGCTCAAGTTTCCGATAAAACCAACCGACTTGAAGAAAAGGATTGAGAGCCTCATTGACAGGGAGTACCTTGAGCGAGACAAGAGCAACCCACAAATATACAATTACTTGGCATAATCACATCAGATCATATCATATTTGAACCTTGTAAATGACACGGGAAAATGAAGTCCTCATCAAGAGACTCCCATGTTTATCGATCTCATGTCAGCTTATGTACAGGTACTCGTAGCCTTTATTTTTGTTGTGGTATACACTGTAACTGTAAAGTATATTTTCTGTTATATTTCTTCTAATTATATTTCTACGTCGGAGTACATGAAATAACAAGTGTTCTACTTCCATGAGACCAAAGGGAAATAGTCAATGCAGACTGACTGACCCCTTCATCCAGATCCGGATACGGTTTTTTGGTTGAAATGGGAAAGGAATACCTAAGACGAAAAAAATGAGAAACCCTTAATAGGTGTTTTGTTAGCCGCAGAGTATGGGTGGATGGTGCTGGTGTTTAAGATTGTTTTACAATTGGACCTTTGTACAACTCATCAATAACAGAAAAACAGAAGTTGAACTAACGCCAACTTGACTAAGCTTTCACGTGGAGCAGGAACCATAGCTAGCTGAGCAGTGTATCAGTAGCTGCAAGTCCATAGCTCAGCAATGTATCCGCAGCTACAAGATGTAATCAGTCTCAAGACTCCCCCTCAAGCTGAATGTTGGTGAGATAGGAAACATTTATATACAACGTTTAGCTTGGATTTAGCTCAAGACTCCCCCGGAATTTGAAATGAATATTCAGTTTGGACAGAAGGGATAGAAATTGGATTTAGTGAGAGGTTTGGTGAGGATATCAACGAGTTGGCGTTGAGTTCGAATATGGAGAGTATGGATAAGGCCAGATTGCAAATTTTCACGAGCTATGTGACAATCTATTTCAATGTGCTTAGTACGTTTGTGGAAGACAGGATTAGAGGCAATATGGAGTGCAGCTTGGCTATCAAAAAACAAAAGAGCAGCCCGAGCATGAGGAATATGAAGGTCAGCAAGAAGATAAATCAGCCATTGTAATTCACAGCATGTGGAAGCCATGGCTCTATACTCAACTTCTGCAGTAGATCTGGAAATAGTGGATTGTTTCTTAGATATCTAGGAAATCAAGGCATCTCCAAGAAAAATACAGTAGCCTCTGAGAGATTCCTAGAGTCGGGACATGCAGCCTACTCAAAGTCTGAAACAGCTTTCAGATGAAGAGAAGTAATAGCTGGGAAAAACAATCCTTGTGCTGGTGCAACTTTAAGATATCTGAGAACTCGATGAGCAACAGCTAAATGATGTTCTCTAGGAGCTTCCATAAATTGACTCAAAACATGGACTGAATATGCAAGATCTGGGCAAGTAATATAGTGAAATATAAAAGGCGACCAACAAGCCTTATGTAAATATGAGGATCTGCTAAAAGAGAACCAATGGTCTTGGCTATTTTGTGATGTTCCATAGGGGTCATGAATGGTTTGGCTCTCAGAAAACCAATATCACTAAGAATTTTCAAAGCAAAATTCCTTTGACAGAGAGAAATTCCTTGATGAGAACGAGCCACCTCCAGACCAAGAAAGAACTTACGGGGACCTAAGTTCTTAATTTTGAATTTGTCATCAAGTAAGGACTTCAAATCAATTATGACTTGCATATCATTGCTAGCCAAGAGAATATCATCCACATAAACAAACAGAGCAACAAAAGAACCGACTTGCAGTCTAGTGAAGAGAGTATATAATCTGTCTTAGATTGCTGAAAACCATGGGGAAGCAAAAAATCTGAAAATTTGGCAAACCGTTGCCTAAAGCATGCTTCAGACCATATAAGGACTTTGAGCTTGCAAACAGTTGGAGAACCCTCCCCCTTGCTGATAAAACCTTGAGGTAGTTCCATACTTCCATATAAATCTTTTCATCAAGATCACCATGCAAAAATGCATTGTTGACATCCAGTTGCTCCAAAAACCAGCCTTTGGCAACAACCACAACAATTAAAGTGCTTACAGAAGTTAGTTTTTTCTTCGGGTGAAAAGGTCTTAAAACTATCAAACCCTTCCTTTTGTGTATACCCTTTTGCTATTAATTGAGCTTTCTTCTTTCTTCAGTTCCATCAGCCTTCAATTTCCTTTTATACACCCATTTGCAAAACCCTATGGCTTCTTTGCTTGGAGGTAACTCAGTGAGTTCCCATGTATGATTTTGTTCTAGAGCCTGAATTTCATTTCTCATAACTTCACACCATTCAGGACTCTTTAACAGCTTCTTTGTAAGAAGAAGATTCACAAGAATTTCTGACAGCAAAAGAACAAAAGATTTGTATTGAGGGGATACTTGAGAATTAAGAAATAGAAGCAGAGATATCATATTGCTTACCTGCTGGTGGTGGAAGAGGAGCATCTGTGATAGTGGAAGAAGATATGCTTGGATCAGAATTTGCCAAATGACAATGATAGTCTTGAAGATAGGAGGGTGCTTTTCGAGGTCTAGTGGTTTTATGAGGAGGAGGTGGTAAGGAAGCTGCATTATCTGAAGACTCATGAGAGGAAGTTATATTTTCTGAACGAGAGGTTGCAGTTGGTGAAATGATATGAGAAGGGGAGGCTGAATCTGCAGTAGCAGTGGGCATTTCAGTAGAGAGTTCTGGTGTTGGTAATGGGAAAACAAACTTGTCAGAAGGTGTAGGAGATAAGGAAGCAGTGCTTTTATGGGGAAAAATGTGTTCATGGAAGATTACATTTCTAGAAATAAAGGTGGTATGAGTTTGAAGATCATAGACTGTATAGCCTTTGATACTAGGAGGATCTCCTAGGAAAATGCACTGATGAGCTCTAGCACTGAACTTTGAACGATTTCTAGATAAGGATGAGGCATATCAAAGGCAACCAAAAGCCTTCATGAGAATAAGAAGATTTGGTGTTAAATAGAAGCTCAAAAGGAGACTTGGAAGATAGAAGAGTAGGTAATCGATTGATTAAATGAGTGGCTGTAAGGATGCTATCTCCCCAAAATTTCAAAGGAAGGCCAGATTGAAATCTAAGTGCTCTAGCAACATTAAACAAGTGTTAATGTTTGCTTCCACACAACCATTTTGTTGTGATGCTTCTACACAAGACTTTTGATGTACAACACATTGACTATTCAAAAAATCAGTGAGAAAGAACTCGGCCTCGACAGAACGAACTTGTTTGATTTTAGATTTAAATTGTCTTTCAACAAGGGCAAAGAAAAAAGGTATTAAAGACTGAGTTTGGGATTTAGAACTCATCAGAAAAGTCCATGTACATCTACTAAAGTCATCCACAATAGTTAAGGAAAAACTTAGCTGAATTCTGTGTAGGAATACTAAATGAACCCCAAACATCACAATGTATCAGTTCATCATCCAAAATAGTAAGGAAAAACTTAGCTGAATTCTGTGTAGGAATACTAAATGAACCCCAAACATCACAATGTATGAGTTCAAAAGGAGCAACGGCTTTATTATTGCTCGAGGGAAAAAGGTAAATTGTGTTGTTTTGCCAAGGGGCATACATCACAATGAGACAAATTCTGAACATTCAAACCAGAAATGTCTTCAGCTAACAATTTCATCCCTGAATGAGAGGGATGCCCGAATCTAACATGCCAAAGAGTAGACAATTCATGTGAAACAGGAGAAGATTTATTTTCTGAATTGGATAACAGGCAGTATAGACCATCATTTTCTTTAGCCAAGCTAATTTTCTTCCATCTGCGCAGGTCCTGTATATAGCAGTAACCAGACAACAAGATAAGACAATATTGCAAGGACTTAAATCAATGAGCTGACTGAAATCAAATTGACTGAAAAGGAGGGAACACATAAAACATTTGTGAGGATAAGATGGTATGACAATTTAACAGAATCTATGTGTTGCAGGAGCCAAATTCTCATTGGATAATTTGATAAAATTTGAGACAGCTGTTGTGACAGTAGTGAGGGAAGCAAGAGAACAGACCATATGATCAGTGGCACCCGAATCAAGTATCCAGACTAAAGAACCAAAGACTATATTACAAGCAAAAGAATAACAAGCCATACCTGAAAATTTGGTTAGGAGTGAATTCTGACCTTCTTGAGAGGCAGAGAATTCAAGAGCTTTCTTAGACTTGGAAGAACTTACTGGTTTGTATAGAGGAATGAAACACAGAGGGTTGAACAGAAGCTGTTGCAGGAGCTTCATTTGATGATTAAATTAAAGCCATGATCTTCTGGTATTGTTCTTGAGTGAAAATCAGAGGAGGAATGTCTACAGTTGAAGATTCTGGCACCAATGTTGCTTGATTAGTAGAAATCTGGTTGTTAAAACCTTGGTTATTTGAACCCCTTCCTCTAGCCCTATAACCTGGAGGATAACCATGAAGTTTGTAACACTTTGTTTGTGGTGTGATCAACTATACCACAATGTCCACAAGTCGGCCTATCCTTGTTATTAACATACTACCCGTGCTTATTTCCAGATTGATTATAGGCAGAATTTTGAGGTGGATTATAAGTCTTAGATAGTAATGGTAGAGAGTCAAGGATACTGTTGCTTTGAGCTATTTCCCTTTGCTTCTCTTGTAAAACCAAAGCAAAAACTTATTGATTGGAGGCAAATGTTCCTTTAACAGTATCTGGCCTCTAATATTAGCAGAAGTCTCATTCAAGCCCATCAAGAACTGCATGACGCACTCCTCATGCTGGCCATTCACCAAATTTTCCATTGAACCACAAGCGCAAGGAGCATCACATGTGCATGCAGGAATAGGCTTAAGATTCAGATATTCATCCAATATCCTTTGAAATCAGTGAAGTAATCACTCGCCGAAGCCTGATTTTGTGCCAATCATGAGATTGCTTGCTTCAATTGAAAATTCCTTGGACGATTGCAAATCTTTCCTTCAGGTCATCCCAAACAGCTTTAGCTAAATCTGTATTGATCATACTGTTCGAATTTCAGAGTTGATAATCCAAGATGCAGCAGTATTGTTGCTCCTTTTCCGGATTCTAAGCATTGGATCTATACGAGTTGGCTTAGGAATGTATACATCAATAAAACCTAGCTTGTTCTTCGTATCAAG